CTGGCTTGTGCTGGCTCCAGAGCCACCCACGCTGGCTCTGCATTTTAAATGTAGTAAGAGCTACAAAGGTGCAGCGATCAGCACGAGCCAGGACCGAGCAGGCCTGGCCGGTGCTGAGTCCAGCAGCCTGTTTGCAGCAGACAGCCCTGGCCGCCGTGAACAGGGGCTGGTGCTGGAGCAGTCTCTATTTGCGGCAGCCAGGGCTGGCAGCGGCACCCTGCTGGAACTCCTGTGGACATTGGCTGATGCACAGCAATGTCCCCAATCCCCCCCACTGCCTCTGATAAAGGCAGCGGGGGGGAGGAAGGGGCAGGCGGCACCCCAGAGACAGTGGTGGGGGGAACCAGCTTTTAATCCGGCTCCCCCCAGCAGTGGCTCTTGTCCTCCCTTTGATGCCTCTCATAGAGGCAGCAAGCAGGGGGACACCACAAAGAGCACAGGGCAAGTAGGGACTGAGAGTCCCTGCTCATCCTGGCACTTCTGCTTTTGAAAGGTACAAGAGCCCCCGCAGGGCACTGCAAGGCTCTTGTACTTTTCAAAAGCAAAAGCACCCACAGTGGGAACCAGCAGGAGCAAGCACTGAAGCAGTCCCCGCTTGCACCATTTCTCACTGTGCCTCTGCCTCTCTGGCCCCCCTTAGGAATGGCGAAGGGGAGAACTGGCTTCACCAGTTCCACCCCAGCACCAGCTCCTGCTCCCACCCCCCTTTCCTGTCTCTGTCTGATAGAGGCAGCAAGGGGTGGGGGAAGCGACTCGTCAAGTCGACTACCCAATAAGCATTTGCTTTTCAGATAGTTGCTAACTTCCCTAGGTCTGATGGGAACTTTGTTCCTCGCTGTTCCCTCTGTGCCCTTCTCTCTTTCTTGTCCTTGCATCATCTCATGGGCTGTGCTTGGCTTGGAGCATCCTCACTTTTCTTGGGCATGAATCAGCTACCCTCTGTAGTCAAGCCTCCCTTTGCCGTACAGGAGATCTTCACAGCCTCCGGGGGAATCGGCCCCAGTAAGACATGGGGAATGTCATGGGCGGTGTGTACAAAAAGGCAGGGGAAGGCAACACCGTTCCAAAGAGCCAGGCTTGGCCCCGCCTACACTGTGCCCCAGCATGGCTACTGCTTTGGCAGGACTCCCGCCGGCAGCCGAGCTGAAGCAGTAGGCGTTCTGGGGGCCCGAAGGTTGCTGCTCCCAGGCTTCAGCCGTGCTGAGGCTGCAGACTCTGGGGCCATGCACCACTCTCCCTCCCCACATTCTGGGGCCAGGGAGGTTCAAGCCATGTGCCGCCCACCCTCCCTGTGGTGCTCCGCATGCTGCCTGCTCTCCTGGGTAAGGGAGGTTTCAGTGCAGAGCTAAAGGCTTGCCCCTGTTGTGGTGGGGGCAGGGCCTCAGGCAGAAGGGGCAAGCCCCCACTCCTATGTACACCCACTGCCTATGGCGAATGTTACATAGATACACAGGCCTGCCTGTAAAAGCCTCTATACTTTAAGGCTACGTCTAATACTGGCAGCTTCTTGCACAAGAACTGTTTTGCGGAAGAGTTCTTGCACAAAAAGTCTTCCACAAAAGTGTGTCTACGCTGGCATGTGCTTTTGCGCAAGAGCATCCATGGCAGTGTGGACGCTCTGCTCAAAAAAGCTCTGATGGCCATTTTAGCCATAGGGGTTTCTTGCACAAGACATTCATGTTGCCTGTCTACGCTGCTCTCTTGCGCAAGAGCTCTTGCACAAGAGGGCTTATTCCTCGTGGGGAGAGGAATAACTCTTCCAGAAGAAGCCCTGTTTTCCGACACTATGCTGTAAATTTACTTGCACAAGAACACGCATGCAGTGTAGACACCCAGCAAGTTTTTGCGCAAGAAGAGCTGTTCTTGCGCAAGAAGCAGTCAGTGTAGACGTAGCCTAAGAATTTAGGTGTGTTCCTACCGTTTCACTAGGTAGCAGGGGTATAAGGACAAAGGATTGATGTCAGGAGGAGGCTGGGGGCAGGAGGGATAAGCACAGGAAAGGAAACTGGACTTATGCTTGCTGGAAGCCAGCCTCAATAAACATTGAATTGTTTGCATCTCTGAACGTTGGGTACTGCTGTTCTCTGTTCATGTAAGGAGGACCAGGGAAGTGAGGGTACGTTTACACTTGCCCCCTAGTTCGAACTAGGGAGGCAAATGAAGGCGACCAAAGTTGCTAATGAAGCGCACGATTAACTCAAATTAACGGGTACTCCTCATACAAGGAGTTTTTCTCAGAGTACCGCATCTATAGGCGGTAAGTTAAATTGGGCTAGTCAATTTCCAAAATGGCAACTGGCCACGACTATGCTAATAAAGCGCAGGATATTTAAATCCCGGGCTTCATTAGCAACTTCGGTCGCCTTCATTTGCCTCCCTAGTTCTAACTAGGGTGCAAGTGTAGACATACCCTGAGAGGGTGAAGAAATAAGCCCTCTAACAGTGAAGAGAGACCCTACCCCTGTGGAGACTGATTCTGCTGTATTCCAGTTGTACAAACCCAATTGTCTCCATGCTCTTCAGTGCTATATCAGAATCTGGCCCTGGATTTTGTCTGTTATTGTCCTCCATGTGGTACGTGCCTGATCTTTGCACAGTAGAACCTCAGAGTGACAAATACCAGAGTCATTAACTGACTAGCCAACCACATCTCCTTTGGAACTGGAAGTACCAGGATGCAATTAGGCAGTAGCAGAGACCCCAAAAAGCAAAGACAGTTCAATACTGAGTTATACATAAACTTCTGTAAGAAAAAGAGAATTTTAAAAAAATGACAAGGTAAGGAACCGGGTTCTATGCTGGTTGCATTTAAGCTAAGATGTTTAAAAGCAGCACTTATCTTCTGTATAATATACAGCATTGAAACTTTACTAAGTCACTGTTCAGTTGTAAACTTTTGAAAGACCCACAGCATTTTATTCAATTACGAACATGCAGAGTTCTGAGCAATCTTCACTCCTGAGGTGTCATAACTCTGACACTCTACTGTATTCCTGGCCTAATTTTAATTTGTATCTGGGGCTGTGCATTGTCCTGTCTTGCACAGCATCCTGTGTGGCAAGAGGCAGAGTGGGTCAGTGGGTAGAATAGTAAGCTGAGAGTCAGGAGACCTGGCTTCTGTTTCTAGCTGTTTTATGGCTTTGGGCAAATCACTTTACTTCATTGTGCCTCTGTTTCCTTTTCTGTAAAATGGGGATAAAGACACTTACCTTCCTTTGTAGAGCTCTTATCATAGAATCATAGAATAATAGGACTGGAAGGGACCTCAAGAGGTCATCGAGTCCAGCCCCCCGCCCTCAAGGCAGCACCAAGCTCCGTCTACACCATCCCTGACAGATGTCTATCTAACCTGTTCTTAAATATCTCCAGAGAGGGAGATTCCACCACCTCCCTTGGCAATTTATTCCAATATTTGACCACCCTGACAGTTAGGAATTTTTTCCTAATGTCCAATCTAAACCTCCCCTGCTGCACTTTAAGCCCATTACTCCTTGTCCTGTCCTCAGAAACCAAGAGGAACAAATTTTCTCCTTCCTCCTTGTGACACCCTTTTAGATATTTGAAAACCGCTATCATGTCCCCCCTTAATCTTCTTTTTTCCAAACTAAACAAGCCCAGTTCATGAAGCCTGGCTTCATAGGTCATGTTCTCTAGACCTTTAATCATTCTTGTCGCTCTTCTTGAAGAGGTCTGGCTGACAAGGGACACAGGTGAGCTAAGAATGAATCAGCAGGCACCAGCATTGTATAATTCCATCGCTCACATTGATTTATTGTATTTTAAAACACTGACAAAACACATCACATCTTAGTTTGTTTGTTTGTTAATCCTCTGTATACTCAGGACACAAAGTTCCAGAATAGCTGCACTGGCGACGACGAGAGTATTTTCGTCATGAAAACACAAAAAAGGGCCAACGCCCCCAAAACCAGAAATGAAACAAGTGCAAAATGAATGAAAGTGCAAAAAAGCTTCATTGTCAGCAACACGTGCCTTCCAAACACAAGCCCCTTCCCCCCAACCAAATAACTGCAACCCCCCTCCCCAAAATAATGGGGTGGGGGGGAACTGGACAGAGCTGGGCTGCAGCCTTTACTAGTGTCCTTTTCTTGGCACTGAGGGACAAACTGTCAGACCAATCCAAGAAATGACAACAGCAGAGAGAAGAGCAGTCAGCCAAATAACGGCTTCCAAAGGTTCCCTCCTCCTCTCCTTTGATTTCCACCATTGCACTCAAGTCCAAAGGTTCTCCTAGCAGGACAAGGCTGTCCTAGCAACCTCACCTCCTAGACAATTTGGGTTTCTGTTCTTTTAAAAAAGTGCTTGAAGTTGGTGCAGAAATAGCTTGGATCTCATAGCTCTGGAAAGAAGCAACCAATTAGAGTGCAGCAAGAGAGGAAGCACCCCATTCCTCCCCCCCCCACGCCCCCCACCAAGAGTCTGGCTTTCCCCATTACCAGTGGGGGTGGGGGGGAGGGAAGGGGATAAATCCAACCAGCCCTGACTTAGACTGTGAGTGATAGGCTCCCTGCTAAGTCCAGGCTGGCCAGAGGGAAGAGTGATGGGCTGTTGAGTTGGCAGGCTGTCATTAAAGAACTGGGCACCAGTCCTTCTGCCATAGGATGCTGGAAAAGGGGTCTGCTGGTCCCTTCTCCATCACCTGCACATGGGTGGGAAGAGAATAAATGGAGGAAATGGGATGGGGAGGAAATAGGGGGAAAGATTGCATGTCCCAAAAATCCTACAATCAGCCCCGCTGGCTTGGAATGTTTGTCAGGACACTTGTCATTAAAGAACTGGGCACCAGTCCTTCTGCCATAGGATGCTGGAAAAGGGGTCTGCTGGTCCCTTCTCCATCACCTGCACATGGGTGGGAAGAGAATAAATGGAGGAAATGGGATGGGGAGGAAATAGGGGGAAAGATTGCATGTCCCAAAAATCCTACAATCAGCCCCGCTGGCTTGGAATGTTTGTCAGGACACTG